ACAGCAATTTGTGCCTTCTTGGATATTTCGGGGGCGTTTGACAATATACCACATAAGGTGGTCTGGCGATCTCCAGAAACAAGAGGGGTGAACAGAACTATTATTCGCTGGTTTTGGGAAATGCTGTCAACACGAACAGCAGAGGCTCAAATGGGCACCAAAACTGTAGCTGTTAAAACAACGCAAGGAACTCCACAAGGTGGAGTAACCTCCCCTTTGCTGTGGAGCTTGGTGGTGGATGAACTACTAGATGAATTAACTCTAGCGGGAATGCACTGCATTGGGTATGCAGATGACATAGTCATGATCGCTCGGGGGAAACATGAAGGCACCCTGTGTGATATTATCCAAAGAGGACTCCGTATCACTGAGAGATGGTGTAGGACTGTCGGGCTGAGTATCAACTCAGACAAAACCGCGATAATGCCATTCACCAGAAGGCGAAGTCTGAAAAACTTGAAAAGAATCCAACTAGATGGAAAGGAAATACTGCCAACACAGGAAGTTAAATACCTGGGAATAACCCTGGACAGTAAACTCCTGTGGAACAGGCATATTAAGAACACTACCAGCAAAGCCATAAAGGCTCTCATGATATGCAGAAGATGGCCGGAAATAGATGGGGCTGCTTCCCTAACATTTTGCGCTGGATGTATACCATGATAGTAAGACCCATGATTACTTATGGAGCAGTTGCCTGGTACACAAAACTAGAGCAACGGACGGCAAGGCTAAACCTATGCAAAGTCCAGAGACTAACATGCGTTTGCATCACAGGAGCCATGAGAACCTGTCCAACAGCAGCAATGGAGGTCATTCTAGATCTAACACCACTGCACATTGTCATTGGTAGATATGCCAATGCGACATTGATTAGAATGGTCACTAACGGAATTAGTACTGGGAGAATTGTCAGATCAGGGGCTTGGAACACCCTCATAAAGGAAATACCACTCCTGCAACTCCCAGTGGACGATATGCTAAGAACGTACAACTTTGAGAAACATCTCCATGTAGTATTGAGCAATAAAAAGGATTGGAAGAGCGAAACGCTTGCCCAGCAGTTAAAAGACCATACCATAACTTGGTATACTGATGCTTCCAAAACCAATACGGGAACAGGGATCGGAGTGTTTGGGCCGAGAGCTAAATACTCCGAACCAATCGGCACTTACCCTAGTATCCTACAGGCAGAAATCTACGCTATCGAAAGATGCATACAACTTATCTTAGATAGGAACTATCGGAAACAAGAAATAGCCACCTTGTCTGATAGTCAAGCAGCGTTAAAAGCGATCAACTCAGTATCAATCCATTCGAAATTGGTCAAAGAATGCATAGAGAAGCTGAATAAATTAGGCAAAGAAAACAAAGTCCTCCTACACTGGGTGCCTGCTCACCAAGGGATAGAAGGCAATGAAAAAGCAAATAATCTAGCTAGGAAAGGAGCGAACACTCCACTAACTGGACCAGAACCGTTCTGCTTTCCAAGTGGTAACCAACTCAAGAACTTGGAAGATCCCATCCGCAACCTGGAATGGAAATCTTGCAATGGTCTAAGACACTCGAAGAAGTTTCTGAGGGCTTATGATCAAGAAAAATCACAGATCTTCCTGGGTCTGAGTAAGAACAATCTTCGGATTGTCACGGGGTTTTTAACAGGACACTGTCTCCTCAATGAACACCTCAGTAGATTGAAACTAAGAAGAAACGGCGAATGCAGATTCTGTGGGGAAGATGGGGAGACACCAGTACACCTCATCACTGAGTGCGCCGAGACGACAACCATTCGTGCCATGAATTTTGGTACGACTGATATTGGAGATGGAGAACTACCCTCTATAAAACCGTCCCAGATACTGGCTTTTGTCAAAGCCCTGGGACTGTATGATGAGTTATGATTCAAGAAAGGGGGACACAATGGATCTGTAAGGTCGAAGTGATTAACCCCCCTCCCACTCATTCTAAATTCTAAATTCTAAATTACGTTTCCCATTCTAGGTTATCCCAGTACGTCAGGCCATATTTCCTGTTGTTTGCCGACACGGGCATTAAAGTCACCTAACAAGATGATTCGTTCCTGCTTTGGAATTCGTTGGAGAGCATTTTGTAGAGCTTGGTAAAATTTATCCTTATCCTCAATTTTAGCGTCTAGGGTGGGCGCGTAGGCACTAATGATGTTGACGTAAGTTTTGTCTGATATGGGGTACCTTAGGGTCATAAGACGTTCGGAGACACCAATAGGTACTTCTGTTATTCTGGTGGCGATTTCGTTTTTAACTGCAATGCCAACGTCATGAATTCTCCTGTGTATTGCAGGGTGACCCTTCCAAAAGAAGGTGTTATGCTCTTCAGTGAGACTACCTTCATCCGCAAAGGGGGTTTCACTAAGATCGGCAACATCTATATTTAGCCGGCGGAGTTCCTGTAAAACACAAGAACACCTCATCACTGAGTGCGCCGAGACGACAACCATTCGTGCCATCAGGGGCGGATACAGGAATTTATTTTAGGGGGGGAGTCAAAATAAAAAATAATGTAGAATATGCTTTTTAGGGCGCTATTTTTAAACCAAAAGCCTAATATTTTACCCAATTTATAGACTTTAGGGAGGCCCGGGCCCCATGGCCCCCCTCTGTATCCGCCACTGCGTGCCATAAACTTTAGTACGACTGATATCGGAGATGGAGAACTAACCTCTGTGAAACCGTCTCAGATACTAGCTTTTGTCAAAGTCCTGAGACTGTATGATGAGTTATAACTCAAGAAAGAGGGACAAAATTAATCTATAATAATAGTAATAAAACATATAATAAATAATAGTAATAACACACATTAAGAAAAACAATGTAAAGTAACGAATATACAATAAAATTTAGCTGAAATCAAATGAAATACATTTTTAAATTATGAAACAGATAAATTTTTAAAATCCCCCTATTTTCAATCGTACTTTTTAGGTATCTACATATATATTAACGACAGGGTGTGATTGATGAAACGGATATATACAATTTTAATCGGTTTAAATGCTTTCCAGTTGACGATTTTTATTTTTCATTGCATTCGAAAGGATTAAAAACAAAATCATCCCAGTTAAGTTCCGCTACACTTTTTTTTAACTCCTGATTTAATAACAGCGCCGCTGTCGAATTGATGAAATTACAGCTTTTTAAAACTGTTCGAACGAAATATCTTTTTTTGGCAGTACTGCTCACAAAAATGGTTTAAAATTTTATCCGATTTATAGGATTCGCGTTGTTTAAAGCCAAACAAAAACTAAAAGAATTGAAATATTAATTGTTATAAATAAATACTTATGATTAAAACTGAAACACATGAAGGCAAAAATGAAAAATCAAATGGAGTAAAAAGTGAACAAGGCATGATTTAAATCTTTTATATTATTTGGAACGTTTGAAATTGTTTAAAAAATTATTTGTGGCGTTTGAAAAAAATAGCATGTTCTATTCGGAATAAAAATGACTTTTTGTGCCTCGGCTGTATGTCGGACTCGCTAGTATCATTTTTACTCCTAATAAAACAACAATACTTTTTCAGATAAATAATAATTTTTGCGGCATGATTGACAATATAAAAAAGTCATTTTAACGCCTAGGCATAAAAGTAAAGCAGTTTTACACCTAAGCACAAAGTACGAAAATATATTATTAACTTGTTATTAACCCAATATTAAACCATAGATAAAAGAAAATAATCTTCTGTATTAAACTGACATGAAGTGTCAAATTCAACGAGCGTAACCATAGTTTCTCGATATATAATAATTACATACAAGGTATTACATTTAAATATTTTTATATTATTTTAAACGTTTGAAATTGTTTAAAAAATTCTTTGTGGCATTTGAAAAAAAATGGCATATTCTATTCTCGTCACAAAAAGTGTTATTTTTACTCCAATGCCCCCCACTGATTTTTCCACTTTAAAAATGAACATAGAAAAGCATGGGGCTATAAGCCCTATGTTCATAGTTAAAATAAAAGCACGTTATATCCGAGCATATAGTAGGTATCAGAATTTTGTCTGAGAATTTTATATTTATACAGGGTGTTCCTTAACGGCAAGTTAATATTGAAGGGGGCGTTTCTTGGACATATCCTAAGAAAGAAACTTCATGAATATATCCAAAATATTTTAACTTTTGAGATACAGGGCCCTGAAGTAAAATGACTTCCTTTAACGTGCCTTCTAGGTTTTATAATACCCTTGTATAAAGGTTGTTTCTCAAAAGTGGCTCACCCCTATAACTTTTTTATTTTTTCAGATAAAAAAAACGAGATTTGATACATTAGTCTATGACACAATTCAGTATTGATTGACGTATTCAATTGTTTTCGGTCACTTCCTGTTTCAATGGAAATGGCTACAACTTTTGATTTTTAAATAGCACCCTCGGTATTTTTTTACTTAATATTCGATAGAAAATGACACTCTCAACAGAATGACATATCATATCTCAACTTTTGACATTGTAACATGTGGTTCATAACGACAATTTAACTTGTAATACCAAGTGTGTGGTACCTAATTATTCCTAAAAAAATGCTTTTTCCAAATATGCTAATGAGCCTCCCTTGTAAACATTAGGCGATATATATACTCCAGGGTTGTAGTAACTAACGTCGCATCCCCACGCCTAACCGCCTAACCACCTGTTACGGTCAAGAACATCTTCCTCTTCCAAGTTACGGTCCTCCATTGCCCTTCTGATGACCTCATTCCTGGATCTTCTAGGCCGTCCTCTTTACCTTTTTCCAGGAGGTGACCAGCTGTAGATACGGTAGGGCCATCTTTGGTGTTATATGCGTAGCAAGTGTCCAAACCATTTAAGGCCCCTCTGTTCGACTCTATCCACTATTGTCTGCGTGGCATCCATTTTGGCTCTGATTTCCACGTTCCTAACTCTGTCCAGTTTAGATATTCTTGCACTGTGTCTCAAATAGTCCATTTCGAGTGCATTCAAAGCTCGCTTTTGTTCAGCTTTTAAGGTCCAAACTCTTACACCCATAAGTTACTACCGACTCCACTAGGGCTCTTCCAATATGTACTTTTCTGTTTGGTCTTATGTTTTTGTCCCACCAGATGCCATTCAGTGCTCCTATAATCTTCCACCCTTGCTCTATTCTAGCAGATACTTCTGTTTTGTCCAGTCCCTTTCTGGTTATACGTGCCCCCAAATATTTAAACGATTCAACCTGTCTGAGCTTTGCATTGTCAGTAATAAAAATGTCAAATTTATCATCTGAATTGGTCACTAGGTATTCCGTTTTATCAATGTTCATAGTAAGGCCCCATTCCTTGTATGCCGAATTTAACCTGCTCATCATGAATTCAAGGTCGTAAGCATCTTGAGCTATGACCACCTGATCATCGGCAAAATTCAATGTAACCGAACAGTCATCTTCCTACAGGGACGCCCATTCCCCCACACCTCTTCTTCCAGTCCCTAAAAACCACTTCCAAATACAGATTAAATAAAAGAAGGCCTTCCTGTCGAAGGCCTTTAGTTGTAAAAATTACCTCAGACCTGTGTTGTTGTTGTACAGCACCTTATTTAAATTTATGAGACATTCATCCACATCAAGTTGTTCCAGTATGTACCATAGTTTAACTCCGGGGATGGAGTCGTAAGCTTTTTGAAGGTCTACAAAAGCTAGATGCGTATCTTCTTCACGTGAATTCCGTTTTTCTATCAGTTGTTGGATAGTAAATAGATTATCTATATATGAACGCCCTGCAGTAAAGCCACTCTGCTCTTCACTGATTTTGTTGTAAGTAGATATTTCTAACTTATTCCTAATTATTTTTGTGAAAAGTCCGCTGAAAGTGCAATTCACACTAAGACCTCTGTAGTTATTCGGATCTTTTCTCTTCCTTTTTTTATATATAGAAGTGATATAGGCTAACTTGCATTCATTAGGTATTTTATTCCAATCTACACACATCTGCATTAAGTTTGTTATTTTTGTTATAAGTACATTCTCGGCCATATTTTAGCATTTCAGCCATAATACCACCCGGTCCTGGAGCTCTACCGTTTTTCATAGACACCAAGGCTTGTCTAACTTGTCTTCTCGATCGATATGTTTTCTAGCTTCTGTAATAGCGACGGCTTTATCGTTTTGTAAAAACTGTGGTCTTTGTTCTATTAATAGGTTTTCATAGTGTTTTCTCCAATCACTTAAAGATATAGCTCCCGTCCATCATTCACGTGTATTTGATTTCATCCCCTTCAGAGTTCTCCATGCTTCCGTAGATCGTGATCCCCCAATGTAAGTTTCAATTTCATTGCATTATCTTTCCCACATACTATTCTTTTCCTCAGTTACTTGTTGTCGAACTTCCTTTTGTAACTTCTTATATGCTAACCAATTTTCATCTGTTGGATTTCCTAACCAGTTATTATAATTCAGCTTCTTTTCACTTATCTTCTCTTCAAGCTTATCCGTCATCCATATAGGTTGGTTCTTAATTTGCTCCTTATATCCTACAGCTTCCTGCATTTAGACGATCACATTAGACGATCAAATCTATTTTTCCAAAGCTCCTAGATTAAAAATTAGTGTTTTTATCACAGATCTAGATTGAAATTTTAAATATAATTTTTCATATGATATGTCATTCTGTTCAGAGTGTCATTTTCTATCGAATAAAGTAAAAAACTATTGAGAGTGCCGTTTAAAAATCAAAAGTTGTAGCACAGGTTGTAGTCATTTCCGGTGAAACAGGAAGTGGCCGAAAACAATAATTGAATGTGTCAATTAATCCTAATTTAGGTCACCAAATCTCGTTTTTTAATCTGGAAAAATAAAATGGATGGGATTGACTATAATAAAACACAAGGTTGCTAAAATTATCAAACCAAAATACGAAAGTTTCTTAATACACTTTAGTAAACAGTCAAAACGGAGAAATTAGGATTTTTATAAAATGCCAATTGTACTTATATTCAGTTTCTAGTTACTTAATCCTTATTTAATTAACATTACATAGAGGAACATTATTTTTCAAACAGTTCAACAGGTTTTAGCATCAGTGTTATTTGTGTTTTTTTTAACAAGTGTGAACTAATTTAAATCCCAAAACTACCAATCATAATACAAAAGCAAGAGAGATAAATAAATAAAAGTTTAATAACAGCCACAACCAAAAGGTTATTTATAACCAAATTTTAAAACTTTTACTATTTTCTATTATAGTTTTTTTTTTAATTTAATTTGGGAATCTTTAACATGTAAATGTGAAACCCATTTTTTTATTAACAGTGAAATTAAAAGTAATCTATTTTACGCTACGCCTATTGAAATAACTTTTCGCTGTTCGTTCTTAAATAAGTTTTCTGAAAAAAAAACAACATTAATTCTACACTAACACAGGCCAAATACCCGCCAAGGTCAGTTAATCATTACTGATTGATTCGTCAAACCAGAAAAGTTGCACTTTTAATAAAATGCTTTCTAATTAATAAAACAAACCGCAGTTTTGAGTGAAATCACGGCTGAAAAGATGAGATTCGCCAATTCAACCAAATAGAAATGGTTAAATTGTTTTGAAAAAAATATCGGCGTATACAATTATTATTGTCGATTCTGGTAATTTACTTTTACAATGTTACAATAAACACGACCGGAGAATGGAAATTTTTATAATCAAATAATAGTAAATAACGAAATTAAAGAGACAATTTTTGAGATATACAGGGTGGCGCCTCTCATACGCCACGGAAGCTCCAAGGAGAACGGTAGTTTATATCGAGATGAAATTTTGGCAGCATATGTAGGTTAACTGAAAGCATTTTATAAAAATATATAGAATTATAGAGGGTGTCCCCAAAAAAAGTTACACATCAAAGTTTCAATTTTCAATTCAATTTCAATTTTTTTTTTCAATCATTTATTATATACAGGGTGTTTCAAAACAAATGCGAAAAACTTCAGGGGGTGAGTCCTTGTTCAAAATAAAGGATAGTTTGCTTCATAAACGTTGGGTCAAAAGTCAACCATTAGGGAGATATTGCGGTACAAAGATGGCGGAAAAATAATGTTTTTATTTTTTATCTTGAAAACGAAAAGAGATAGACTAATAAAATTTTATGAAAGCATTACTGTTATGAAAACACACTTTCTGGTAATTTTTTCACTTTTTTAAAATGAGTGGAAGGGGTTCAAATAAACTACCCCTATCATTCTTGTTAACGAAATTTAAAGAAAAATCTTATCAAACACATGCAAAAAAATTAATTTGGATAGTTTAGTTTGTTTAGAAACTTTTTTATCTCTTGTATTTTTTTGATAAAACTCACCGATCTGAAATTAAAAAATAAAATGTAAAACATTACATGTCAGGACAAAAAACATTTTCTGATAAAGAATCTAGTGGGCTGCTGTAATTTTTTTAGGAAAAAATCTAGTCGGCCGCTGTTACTTTTTAGGATGTTCCTAATATTATTTTATTTGACATTACTCTACTGCAATACGTTATTATCTAGAAGATTATTATTATCGTTATTATCACTAGATTCTTAATCTAAAAATGTTTTTTGTCTGACATGTAATGCTTTACATTTTATTTTTAATTTCCAATCGGTGAGTTTTATCAAAAACACAGAAGATAAAACAGTTTCTAAACAAACTAAACTATCCGAATTAAAGCATTTGCATGTGTTTGATAAGATTTTTCGTTAAATTTCGTTAACAAGAATGATAGCGGTAGTTTATTTCAACCCCTTCCACTCATTTTAAAAAGTAAAAAATTACATGAAAGTGTGTTTTCATAACAGTAATGCTTCCATAAAATTTCATTAGTCTATCTCTTTTCGTTTTCAAGATAAAAAATAAAAACATTATTTTTCCGCCATCTTTGTACCGCAATATCTCCCTAATGGTTGACTTTTGACCCAACGTTTATGAAGCAAACTACCCTTTATTTTGAACAAGGAATCACCCCCTAAAGTTTTTCGCATTTGTTTTGAAACACCCTGTATAGCTTCGATGTGCAAGTCCCATTTTAACCAGTTGTCTACAAAAAGTCCTAAGAATTTCACAAAGTCCACGACGTAATAATTACTCCTTTCAAAATTATACGTTTGTGCTCGCGCTTTTAATAATTTTCTGATGATGGACATTTCAAGTAATGGAGAACTAAGCAATACCCCGCCTAATTTAATAGATACACACTGATAAAAAAGATACACTTGAACTAAAGTCGTCATCGTTCTTGAAAAAAAAATTAGTGGCAAGAGAATTTATTTTAGCGTAAAAGAAAACATTTTGCTTGAAGAAAAACTCTCTTAACTCAAGAAAACTGGTTCTCTTGAAAAATTCAAGAGAACAACACACTACTTTTTAACAACAAGTTACTTTGTTTTAAGATAATAAGAAAAATACTCTAGGAAGTACTTCATTCAAGAAACATGGCCATTTTTCCAATAGCTAAATACTCTTTTGATGAAAAATAACGACACGCAAAGACGATGACGAAGGACGGTATATACAATCAGTCGGCAGTCCGATCAGTCGTACGTCGCATTTCATAGGTCGCACATCATAGTACGCACGGGTTTTGTTGCTTGGAATTTTCCACTTGGAATTTTGCATAATTTGCTTTTTAAACGCATATCGTATAACAAATTAGTGATCGTTATTAACATGCATTTGTCATTTTTTATGGACAAATTTTAGGATATATGATTCTTTAAAGGAGTTTCTGAAAAAATGGAAATTAGAGCATTTATTTGCTATATTTGAAGGTAAGAGACATTTACCTAATGCACCTATTTAGATAATACCTACGTGACTATAAGAATATAGGTATCGCTTTTTTTATGCAAATAATTACAAAAATTTTAGACTTTCAAGATGTCGCCGTCGTATTTAAAAATTTAAAATGTGACCGAAGCTTATAATTTTAATAATTTATTTGCTTTACTTTGATTAATCGTGATGTATCATTTTTTTTGTAATTTGTAGAGTGATGAACCACCCCAAAAAATACCACGGAGTGAAGAAACAGAAATAACTACTATCGAAGAAAATAATATCACTTTACTTACTACAGACCAGGAAAACCTAAATTTATCAGAAAATAATATATATCGTCATATGCCTGTATATGATATATAGACTTCTCCTAGATCAAAATAAATTTTAGTTGAGTCAATAGTATTCACTATTGGTTTAAGAAAAGTGTCTCTTTAATCAAGAAATGTCCCTTTCCAATCAAGAATTTTTGCATGAATCAAAGAGACTATTGTTCTTGTAGCAAAAACTTCTTTGCATATTCATTTTGGGTCAAGAGTGAAATACTTTGGACAGGTAGATTCTTCTATTCTCTAAAGTATTTTTTTAAAGCTTATGAAAAGATAGTTAATGCTTTGGGCAAAGAAACGTCGTTCTTGGCCCTATTGAAAAGCCCCAATCTTTTGGTCAAAGTCATATTCATTTCGACTGGGAGATCCTTTTTTTCAGTGCAGCGAACGCGGCAAATTTTTTTATTTTCAACAAAAACTGTCAGTTGGATACCGACCTAAGAAATCCAAGGTTTTAACTCGTGAAGAAATCAACCAATTCATAAAAGAGGCAAATGACGAAACCTATTTGATGGTTAAGGTATATTTTTAGTAAAATGTATGTTTTCTTTATTACTGAACATCGTCATCGATTTCCGATATCGAAAGATACAATTTTGATTGTTAAAGTACCCGATACAAAAACAAACATAGACCGAGTCTATACAGTGTCAAATTTGAACTATATTGAGATTTGCCTAAATTCAGCTCTTCGTCCGAGAAATGCTACCAATCGCAGATTGTTTTTAAAATATCAAAATAAAAGATGTGTTAAGCTGCTCTCTTGCTATTGGTAAGATGCCTAGTATGATAGCAAAACCCTTGAAGATGCCAGATTATGAGCCTACACTGGGCATTGTTTCACGGAGGATGGAAATCTTCGACAGTGGCTGAGAGATACGTCGAGGATTCTATCAACCATAA